GCGTCAGTTCAAGCGACCAACAAGAAGCTTGAAACTTGGTTAACCGCAGTAGTAGGTCTGGCTTACCTGGCAGGTCCAGGGCATGAAAGTACCATCACTGATGATATGTCCCAGCGCAACATGAATAAATGCAGAGATTTTAATAGCCAGTAGTATTTATGCTTAATACAGAATTATACTCTAATATGATTCATACCAAATAGTCTTAGGTGTTGTTTAAACAGCCAATTCATTCTCTGTTCTTCTACAATATGAAGCACAGAAGTAGATAATCAATCTTAGAATTGGAAGTTAAAACAAGGACTGGCTGCAGGTTGAAGCAAACCAACGAGATAGACTGGTTAGAGTATGCAAAGTGAGGATGATCTAATAATTATAAGTATTAAAGGTACAGTCACTGTACCAACTCCATCCATATTAAAAAGCCAACAGTAGCAGACAATCAAGTATGTCTTTAAGAAAAGTCACTAACAAGGCGTGTAGCTTGTTTTTATTATCCCAACTTCCTTGTACTGCTGTTGGCAGCCCATTGTTGCACTTCTTTATGTGTTTATCAACTACAGGTATGACAATTTATTTTTTCTATCTCTCTATAATGATAATTATTTAAAAGGACAACAGTAGGAAAGTGATTCATTAAAAATGACTGTAAATTGTTTCAGAGCTGAAGAGATTCAAACACTTTTAGTGACACTTTGAAATGATAGCGTCACATTTTGTATCTAATTTGAATAGTACCAAATCGGAAAGTACTGGGGAAAAAAGTATAAATCTGTGCTGCTTAGCCCATTAAATAGATACAGAATTTTGGAAGGTATAAACAGCTTTCTGATGCATTCTTTCCTTCAGGTGTTGAAGTTGTCTCCAAAAAAAGATTACAAATACCACTTAAATGTTTCTTTCAGTTAATGACAGTACAAGACTCATATAAAACCACATTGTGATGACACTGTTGGACTAATATAACCCTTTTCTTGCTCACTGATAAAGATGAGTTTAAATACTTTGAACCTGTTGATGTTTGATATGTTCTTACCTCTACCTTCTCTTTAGATAATGGAGGAAATTAACTCACTTGGGAGCACAGAAATTCAGTCACAGCCTGCTGGCCCTCTGTCTCCAACTATCCATGATCTTCCCACACTGAGAGTTGGGGAGTGTTACCATGTCTTCATCAGCTACAGCAGCAATGACTCACAGTGGACACACTTCTTGATCGAGCAGCTGGAGTCCTTCGGCTTACAGGTCTGCTACCATGAGCGGACTTCACTCCAGGCCGCACGTGTTGGAGAACATGTCTGACTGCATCCAGGAGAGCCAGAAGGTCCTGCTGGTTCTCAGTTCAGAGTTTGTGAGGAGCCGATGGTGTCTCCTGGAGGCCAACATGTCTCTGTTCAGGGACTGTCTGGAGAGGAAGCCCATCGTCCCAGTGCTGCTGGAGCCAGGAGTCTCTATTCCTCTCCACCTCTGCCACCTCACCTACCTGGAGGCCAACAACCCCGACTTTAAGAATAAGCTGCTCAAGGTGCTCTGCACCCCCAACCAGCAGCTCCAAGGCTCCACTGTGGTCCCCTTCCAGCCTCCCTCTATCTACAATGGGAAGGCCCTGCAGCCTTTGACTGCTGTCAATGTTGAAGGACTCCGTAGATGGGATATTGGTCGGTTTAATGACATGGACGTGCCAGACCAACTGTGCATGGTCATTGAGGACCACAACAAGTACAAAGAGGCTGTGAGGATCATCAACAGTGTCTCTGAAAATAAGGTTTACTTGGTCTGGAGTAGACGACTGATGTACTTTTCAATAACAATACTCTTTGCACTTACAATATCTATATTTTTGTGTATGCTAGGTATGTTTTTAGTCGGATATGGAACAAATCTGTGGATGTTCACTATTCCATGTCTGTTATTTGTTGAAGTGGGGTTGATCATTCAGTTATCTTTATGGCAAAAGAATGAGGGTGATTTCATAGAGAGGGAGATGAAAAAAGTTATAGGTCAAGGAAACATGTTGCTCTCTGAGGAGAAGGTACTAATGGGATTTTTCTCCAATGCTAAAATTGATCTTGTGTATGTTTGTCTGGACGACTGCAAACAGGAGTTTGCAGAAACATTTTCTGAGCAGGATGATGCAGAGGAAATGTTTCAAAGAGCTCTGATGTTCTTCTCATCAGGTTACACCTGCTGCCTTGCTAAAAGAGACTTTGCCTTTCCCCAGCCCAGCTCCTCTGGTCACCTGGAGGGAGGAGTGTGTTTCTGTCAGTATGTCTCCCAGCAGCTGAGTAAAGAGAAATGGGAATAGCAGAAACATGATGGACCTGGAATGGACGTGACAAGCCACATTTTCTTTCTAACATAAATATTCAAATCTGTTATGTATACATTTGAAAGCCCCTAATTATACAGTATGCACAGGCACTAGATCATAAGTGCTCTACAAGCCATCCGCCAACATCAACATTAGTGACGAGAACGTTAGAGATGGAGAGCTAATCCAGTCATTCCCAAAATGGCAGACCTTTCTCCATCCTGTCTCCGACTGTTTAGGCCCCCTTTCTGGTCCACAAGCATGTACTTTTTGGACCTTTCATGGAGAAGATCGGCCGCCTCACGCAGAAAAGGTTGGGCATACTCTTTAAATGCTTACATCAAGCTGTATACATATTGAGCTCATCTCTTCCTCAACAATCTACTAAACTACTGCAAAAGTGAACTCCTTGGCAGAAGAAGATGGCGGCACAGTCCGATTTTAGCTGAAAACTTCTGGACAGCCTTTATTCGTTACTACTTTCCAAACCTTCAAACCAGACAAAAATGGGAGACTGACAAGGAGAACCTGGATACAGGTCAGGTAGTAATGATTGTTGACCCACAATATCCTCAATCATCATGGCCTATTGGAAGGGCAACTGAAACCTAACCTGAAAGGGCATTCGCAGTGCCAAAGTCATCATTCAGGGCTGAGGATGCATACGATGAAAAAACAAAGTAAAACACATGTGCTGCACAAATCTGGGGCAGCTGTGAGAAACTGCAATCTAATTCCTCTCCACACAACTTGGAGATACCATGCAGTGGTTAGATGTACTTGGTCGTACTTCCCACCTTATGAATAGAAGTCAGGAGAAGGCCTTCCTCCTTTTATTCCCAAACATTCCCATGACGGACACTTTATGTTTGTAGGTAGTTTGCCATGTGTCTTTTGAATGGCCATCAACGTAAATTAAGATTTTCTTTTATTGTTGGATTATGTGTTTAAATAATTGACAGTAAGGTTAGTTAGTAATATGGGTAACACTTAATAATAGCAATCATCAATAAAGAGTGAATTGATAGTTAATTAGTTAATATTCATTTTTTATAATAATAATTATAATAATTTTATACTTTATTGATCCCGCGAAGGGAAATTTGTTTTTACACTCTGTTTAATGAACATGTTACACAAACATAGGCCGAAATACACACACACGCACAAACAGGATCCTATGGACATGCACTAATGGAGAGGTCTCAGAGTGAGGGGGCTGCCCAGAGTGGGGTTATAGCAGAAACATGATGGACCTGAAAAGCCAAACTTTCTTCTATTACCCTTGTATGGTCTTTAAATTATGTTCTAGTGCCCTTTCATTGCCCTGAATAAAAGTAAAACATTTGATAACTACCTGCATGGGTGAATTTCTGTTCAAATGTTACGATACCTCTGGCAACCAATTTCATTAACAAATGTTAATTTGCATGCTTATTTACATGCCAGTATGTGTCACAGCAGCTGGTAAGAGAAAAGTTTAAGTAGATTTCTTGGATATTTAAAAAAAACACATTAAATAAATCATTGCAAGATATTCTGACATTGAGAACCCATCAGAAATCGTTCATATCTTTGATTTATGACAAACTCATGGCTCTTGATAATCATTCGACTGTAAAAACTTAAAATTCATTGACTCAATGTGCCAGACTGCAGCTTATACAAATCAAGGTTTTACACAGAGTCCACTTCAGCAAATCTTAACTATCTGAAATACATCCCAATATTGCAGATCTGAATGACAGATGCCATGCCTCCCCCTGTAATTTGAGTCACGTGTCTGCTCAAGTTCTGGACATACTTATTGATGATTCTGACACAGGTAAAAATCGACCCCTTTAATGTTGTATTTATCTCACTTCAACAACTTCAAATGAACTCCTTACAATCAGAACTATTAGCTTTTACTGTACTTCCCTTCTGGCAAGACGTCACATTTTACTCGTCTGGAAATCTCCTAAACACCCATCTTTATCTCACAGGCTCCATACCAACTATGTCCCTGGACTAACTAACTCCCCCTACCCCCTGTTTTTGTATTGTTATTATTTAATTATTATTATTTATTATATCTTTATTATTATTTTTTATTTCAAAGTAATTTAATTGGTTTCACTTGTTCTGTTATTTACTTTCCCTTTCCTTTCTTTGCTTTTGTATACTTGGCACCAGACTATGTACACAGTCATTCTTAATGTCTTGTTAATTTTTTATTTCTATTATCTTTCCATACATGCTTAGGACTTTTTTTCTGTAAAAATAACAGGGGCTACACTTGTAATTTTGTACTGTGTTCTTATTTATATCCCTAATGAAAATATGAAAAAAGAAAGGTATTTGGGGGGACTTTTCAGTCTCAGGTAACCAAACTCGAAATACTGTAGCCCTTTTAAATAAATTGTCTGTTAGCACTACACTTATCCAGTAAAGGAGTCTTCTCATTTTGACTATAAGTCACATGATCAATGTTTTTTTTATCTTATAATGTTAATTTTGTAAAAGCAACTTAGAGCCATAAAGGCATAGTTACTTCATTCATACTTGAAGCCCTTTAAACATCAGAACTCGCGCTGTCCCTTTAAGAAACCTGAAACAAGAGTAGTGAGGTGGTTTTACAGTTTCTTCTTCCTGTTTTACCTTGCAGTCTTTGCTCAACCACTGTGTGATCACTTTCCGTTTGTTTGCCTCAAACAACATGACCATGGACAGGTATTAGTCTCCATAGTTTTTAACCGTATTATGTGTTTTTGTGTGTACCTTTAGAAAAAAAGAGTAATTCTACACCTTTTCTGGGGTTTTTTGCATGCTGAAACAAGAGAAGTTTTTACGAAGGAGTGTAGGGTCACATTAAGGGGAAAGAAATATGAGATGTAGAGATTAAAGTCATACATTTCCGGGTTTATTCTCATAAATTTATGAGAATAAAGTCCAAAGGAAAGAAAGTTATACGTTTACGAGAATAAAGTTGTACATTTAAGGGTATAAAGTCATGATTTTAGTCTGTATATCAACTTAAGGGGAAATTCTTAGGAAATGTCACGATTGTAAGAAATTTCCTTAGAGTAGCATCACTGGGAGAAATTCTTTGTATTTAGGAAGCTTTGTGAATCTGCCTCTGGTCTCCAAGTCATGATCATTGTAACAGAAAAATCATTTTAAATGAGCAATGGACTGTATTTCCGAAGTTGGGTGTATTGAAAGACAGCGGCATGCTGTAGTTGGGAAGAATCCATCTGAACTTTATGCTTTTTCATCTGTAATACAATTTAATCTATAATTGTTTTAATGCAATACTTCATGAATTCAGTAAGACAACCCACTGAAAATATAGTTATGTTTCATAAAAAACTCATGATATATATTGATGATAATGTTGGTTGGTTGGATTATAATTCTAACTTTGATTCCACTTCTTTTCTCTTCTTCTCAACTGTCTGTCACACCTCCTGTATTGAGGAGTATACAGCTGCAGCCCGATAACAGAAGCCCCTGCATGACAAAGCTCCTGGCATCACAGAAGTGACATGAATGACAAGGTGACACCTCTGTTGTGAATTTTTGCGCATGACACCAACGGCGTCCGCTGGATAACAATCAGGTTTAAAATAATAATTAGAATCAAAGTCATCAATATCTAGGAGCTGAGGGTTTATTTCAGGGGGGAAAGGCAAAGACACACGCCTGTCTACAACAGTGGAGTTGAGGAGGGGTGGGAACTGTTTTAAGTTGAATTACAATCAGCATCAAAGATTGCCTGGATTAGACACCATATTCATCTTGTTAAGAAAACCTAGCAACAGGTAAGCGGTCAAAATTCCTCTGATATGTTTTTGTATGAAGATCACTGTACCATCTCCCTCCATTTCAGGCCGTTCTGCAAGACAATGCAGCATGCCTTTAAGAAATCCCGTCAGCAGGGACTGTAGCTTGGTTTTTATTATCCCAACTTCCTTGTATTGCTGTGCACAGACCATTGTTGAAGTCCTTTATGTGATCATTTACTACGGGTATGAGAATATTTTAACATTTTTCTATCTCTTCCTCTGTATGTATCTCCTTTCTGTCTGTGATTTCACAGAATACAAGAGTAAAAAGAAAGATCGAGATTATAAAATGACTGAAAACTATATCAGAATTCTGATACTCACTTTTGTTTCAACTGTTTCAGAGTGGTTGGGGTTTTGAAATGATAATTTACTACATACATAATTTCTAAAATCATGAACATTGAAAGACAACAACAGACAGCAGCTGTAAAGTACCATTCTGTTATTCTCGCTGTCTATTCAATTAAACTGATGTGTTTACATCTTAAGCATTTATTTCTGTTTGGCATAGAATATGCAAAAATACTCAACAATATGATGAATTTTTAAAATAAAAAGGTCCCTGTTCCAAATTTATATTCTGACACTGATGTTGTCTGCATGCAGCAAGAATAATTACAAATACCTCTAAAATGGCTCTTTCAGTTCATGTCAAATCAAATTGACTGTAAAGATCTCTGATGGAAGACACTGTTAGACTGTTTAGTTGTGACTTCTTAGTTGTTCACTGATAAGGAAAAGTTAATATACTTTGAAATAGACTTTGAACATGAACCATACAAGTGTCCTTTATAGCGATATGATAGTGTCAATGTTTTCACATCTACCTTCTCTTTAGATAATGGAGGAAATTAACTCACTTGAGTGCACAGAAATTCAGTCACAGCCTGCTGTCCCTTTGTCTCCAACTATCCATGATGTTCCCACACTGAGAGATGGGGAGTGTTACCATGTCTTCATCAGCTACAGCAGCACTGACTACCAGTGGACCCACTTCTTGACCGAGCAGCTGGAGTCCTTCGGCTTACAGGTCTGCTACCATGAGCGGGACTTCATTCCAGGCCGCACCGTGTTGGAGAACATGTCTGACTGCATCCAGGAGAGCCAGAAGGTCCTGCTGGTTCTCAGTTCAGAGTTTGTGAGGAGCCGCTGGTGTCTCCTGGAGGCCAACATGTCTCTGTTCAGGGACTGTCTGGAGAGGAAGCCCATCGTCCCAGTGCTGCTGGAGCCAGGAGTCTCTATTCCTCTCCACCTCTGCCACCTCACCTACCTGGAGGCCGACGACCCCGACTTTAAGAATAAGCTGCTCAAGGTGCTCTGCACCCCAAACCAGCAGCTTCAAGGCTCCACTGTGGTCCCCTTCCAGCCTCCCTCTATCTACAATGGGAAGGCCCTGCAGCCTTTGACTGCTGTCAATGATGATGAACTCTACAAATGGGATTGTGGTCAGTTCAGTGACATGGAGGTGCCAGATCAACTGCGCCTGGTCATTGAGGACCACAACAAGTACAGAGAGGCTGTGAGGATCATCAACAGTGTCTCTGAAAACAAAGTTTGGCTGCGCCCTCTCTGGTTTAGAGTACTGATCTACATTGCCGGTGTAATATTTTTTTTACTCTTAGTATACTTTTCTACATGCTTTTCGGAGATAATCAGTTTAAATGATTTTTTGGCCCCAAAACTTAATACCTTTGGAAAAAGTGTGCTCAGTATAACTCTGCTATTCTGTGCTCCAGTGGGGTTTATTATTCAGCTTGGTCTCTGGAAGATGGATGATGAGAAGTATATTCTGAGGGAGATGCAGAAAGCTATAGGTCAAGCAAACATGTTGCTCTCTGAGGAGAAGGTGTTAATGGGAAGTCGGTCCAATTCAAAACTCTATCTGGTGTATGTTTGTCTGGACGACTGCAAACAGGAGTTTGCAGAAACATTTTCTGAGCAGGTTGTTGCAGAGGAAATGTTTCAAAGAGCTCTGATGTTTTTCTCATCAGGTTACACCTGCTGCCTTGCTAAAAGAGACTTTCCCTTTCCCCTGCCCAGCTCCTCTGGTCACCTGGAGGGAGGAGTGTGTTTCTGTCAGTATGTCTCCCAGCAGCTGAGTAAAGAGAAATGGGAATAGCAGAAACATGATGGACCTGAAAAGCCACACTTTGTTTTTTTTCTTCTTTTCTTTTTAAACCTGTTTATGTCATTTACTTTCCCATTAATTCTGTTCTAGTTCCCTTCCATTGTTCCTGCATAAAAGATTTGGAACATTTGATCACCACCAGCAGGTTTGACATTTTGTAGAGATATTCATGTATAAGGCCTCTGGCAGAATATGTCACAGCAGCTGATCAGAGGAGAGTTTCAATACAGCGGCAAAACGGCTCCTCGTTACCTAAACTCTCTCATCCTGGTACACACTTATGCTGCATTCATGTGGTGTTGGACACATTGGAAAAACGAAAATTTACATGAACACCTGCTGAAGTCAGAAACAACTAGTCGGGAACTTGGAAAATAATTAGGTGCCCGACTTCCCGACTTGATGTCAGAATCATCATCAAATGGGGGCAAAATATGTTTTGTTAATGTTAACATTCTTTTTATTAATTCATGTAATGCACATAAACTTTTTGCTCAAATATAACTTTTAACAGGAACATTTCACTGATCTTCTTCATACCATCAACGCTTTTTGGTGCTATTGTTACAACATTCCGACTTTCCGAACTGAAATCACATGAACACACTGAAGTCGGAAGAACGACTTCCCAACTAGTTAATCCCACCCTCTATGCTCTGCCAATGAAAGGCACCATGTCTAACCTTCACAACAGGTCCCTAAATCCTAGATTCCTCTCCTTTGTAGTCCCCCAGTGGTGGAATAAATTACTCAACTCTATTTGATTTGCAGAGTCCCTTTGAACCTTTAAGAAAAAGACCCAGCTCTTTCATGTAAACCTGCGCACTTAATGATTGTGATTGGTCTGATGAAGATATTGATGACAAAAATGAGGACATTGATGACAACAAATATGTCTTTCGGATGTTGTTGATGCTGATTAGAATTCTCATGAGAAGCTATCGATGTTGTTGATGTTGATGATAATACGTATATAATTTTTTAAACATGCTTTGTCTCTGTGCACTGCCTCTGAGCACCTGCGTCTGTTTCAAACATAAAGCTGTTTGTTTGCTCTCACTGACATTGTTTCCTCCTCTCTAGGTCCTAGCGTGTGTTGTCCACACTCCTTGATATAAGTTGCTTGTGACAAAGATGTCTGCTAAATGAATTGTAGAGTTGTAGGAAAATTATTGGACAATAAAAAACTATTAACTTTCAAACCTATTTAGGTTTGTTTTTAATCTCATATAACCAAATTCCAAATTCTGTAGCACTTTAAAATAGATTCACCAAAGCCCTACTACATTAAGCAGTCAATGTGTTTTCTTTTTTTTTTTAAACTTTAAATCACCCGATCAATGTTTTCTTCTTATCTCATCTGACGTTGATTTTGTACAATCGACTGAGAGCTATAAAGGCACAGTTACTTCATTCATATTTGAAGCCTTTTAAACATCAGAACTGACGCTGTCCCTTTAAGAAACCTGAGACAAGAGCAGCGAGGTTGTTTTCCAGTTTCTGTTTCCTGTTTTAACTTTCGGTCGTTGCTCAACCACTCGTGTGTGTGCCTGTAATAACATTGTGATGGACAGGTATTAGTTCTACATTGCTATGCACTATATGATGTTTTGTGTGTGTGCCATTCATTCTTTAAAAAAAAGAGCAATTCTTCACCTTTTCTGTTTTCTTTTCAAGCCACATCAAGTTAAGCTTGGAAGCTGACCTGTAGCTGTTCTATTTCTTTTATCAGTTGACATAAATATTTTCATCTGTTATGTACATATTTAATTTATTTTTGCTGTTATGACTTCCATGGCCCTTCATAACTTATAATAACTTGTATTTTCCTGATACAACTACGATTATCCTCTTTATAAACCATTAGTCCTCTTGCTTTGTAAAAAGTTGAGCACTTCATTCTCTGAGTTTAGCTTACTCTGCATTGGTGATGTGACATAGTACTTGTTTTATTATGAATTTTATTAAAACTGTGAGTTAATTGTGAATCTTTGCTTTTTGGGTTTTATTTCTCATTTTGTAGTTTAAATTGTAACAATCATTTTAGCTGGAGGGTTCATGTTTGTCACAAACCTAGACCAGTTTTAGAATCAGTTGTTCTGTGTTACATGAGTGAGTAAATAAGTTTAAATCTCAGGTAAAATGAACTGCATTTTTTCATGTTAATGAAACCAGGAAACAAGATATAAAAGCTCAAGTGAATGTTTGAAGAAAGGGACACATTAATGTGATCACTGTGGCTTTACATGTTAGTGCTGGATATTTCATCTAACTGAGCCCGATGACTTTGACAGAAACAAAGGTTGTTTACTTTATGAAACTTTCAATTGAGGATAGTGTGATTTTTCTAATAGAGGTACATTCTGGGTTTTTCAACACTATAAAATGTTCTTTTCAGTGAAATATGCAAATGAATCAAACTTACAGAAAGTAATCACATTCATAAATGAAATGTTTCCTCCTCCTATAATATTAAAATGCGAAATGGTGTGTTTCCTTGTGTTTTGTCACAGTTACAGTATGTAGTATTCATTATTCAAAGTAAATGTCTGCTGTGACTTAAAATCATGTTCTGGAATTTCGTTGTTTATTTTCTGAAAACCAGCTGCAATGTTTGGTTATATTATATTACATACATACAAATCATTACAATATTATTATTTTATGAGTAAAATTAGAAAATGGTTAATGTTATTGTTTGTCTGGTAGTCATGTAAAAAATAAAGGACACATTCTGTTGTCCCCCTGTCTACAGTCACGATGTTCCCACACTGAGAGAGGGGGAGTGTTACCATGTCTTCATCAGCTACAGCAGCACTGACTATGAGAGGACCCACTCCCTCATTGATCAGCTGGAGGAATGCGGCCTGCAGGTCTGCTACCATGAGCGGGACTTCATTCCAGGCCGCACCGTGTTGGAGAACATGTCTGACTGCATCCAGGAGAGCCAGAAGGTCCTGCTGGTTCTCAGTTCAGAGTTTGTGAGGAGCCGCTGGTGTCTCCTGGAGGCCAACATGTCTCTGTTCAGGGACTGTCTGGAGAGGAAGCCCATCGTCCCAGTGCTGCTGGAGCCAGGAGTCTCTATTCCTCTCCACCTCTGCCACCTCACCTACCTGGAGGCCGACGACCCCGACTTTAAGAATAAGCTGCTCAAGGTGCTCTGCACCCCCAACCAGCAGCTTCGAGGCTCCACTGTGGTCCCCTTCCAGCCTCCCTCTATCTACAATGGGAAGGCCCTGCAGCCTTTGACTGCTGTCAATGATGAGGAACTCTACAAATGGGATTGTGGCCGGTTCAGTGACATGGAGGTGCCAGATCAACTGCGCCTGGTCATTGAGGACCACAACAAGTACAGAGAGGCTGTGAGGATCATCAACAGTGTCTCTGAAAACAAAGTTTGGCTGCGCCCCCTCTGGGTTAGAGTACTGATCTACATTGCTGGTTTCACATTTGTTTTTCTCTTAGTATCCTTTTCTACATACTTGTCGGCTATAATCAGTTTTAATGATTTTTTGGCCCAAAAACTTAATACCCTTGGAGTATGTGCGCTCATTATAACTCTGCTATTCTGTGCTCCAGTGGGGTTTATTATTCAGCTTGGTCTCTGGAAGATGGATGATGAGAAGTATATTCTGAGGGAGATGCAGAAAGCTATAGGTCAAGGAAACATGTTGCTCTCTGAGGAGAAGGTGTTAATGGGAAGTCGGTCCAATTCAAAACTCTACCTGGTGTATGTTTCTCTGGAGGGCTGCAAACAGGAGTTTGCAGAAACATTTTCTGAGCAGGTTGTTGCAGAGGAAATGTTTCAAAGAGCTCTGATGTTCTTCTCATCAGGTTACACCTGCTGCCTTGCTAAAAGAGACTTTACCTTTCCCCAGCCCAGCTCCTCTGGTCACCTGGAGGGAGGCGTGTGTTTCTGTCAGTATGTCTCCCAGCAGCTGAGTATGGAGAAACTAGAATAGCAAAAATGGACCAAAGTATTAAGAGTCATCTCTAGTAGTCATTCAGGAGACACTGGTATTTTTTCTTTATTACCTGCTTATGGCATTTAAATTCCCATTAACTCCTTGTCAATGCTCTGTATACATTTGAAATATTAAATACCTGATTAGATGTTCGTGTTATAATGCCTCTGGACAACCAATTCTATCTTAAAGGCTGACAACAACCTGCTCCTCAACACCAGCAAGACGAAGGAGATCATCGTGGACTTCAGGAGAGAAAGAGGAAGCACGCACAACCCCATTCACATCAACGGGATGGCTGTTGAACGTGTCTCCAGCTTCAAGTTCCTGGGGACCCACATCACAGAGGACCTCTCCTGGTCCACCAACACCTCCAGTCTGGTTAAGAAGGCTCATCAACGCCTCTTTTTCCTGAGGACACTGAAGAGACACCACCTGTCTTCAGCTGTACTGATGAACTTCTACCGCTGTGTGATCGAGAGCATCCTGACCAGCAGTGTCTCAGTCTGGTACGGAAACTGCTCTGTCGCAGACCGTAAGGCGCTACAGTGGGTGGTAAAAACCGCCCAGCGCATCACAAGGTGTCCACTTCCTGCCATTGAGGATGTCCAAAGAACACGCTGTCTGCGGCGAGCTCATGGCATCCTTAAAGACTCCTCCCACCCTGCCCACAGACTGTTTACCCTCCTGCCCTCTGGTAGGTGCTTCAGAAGCCTCCGGACCAGAACCAGCAGACTGAGGAACAGCTTTTTCCCCAGAGCTGTTTCTCTACTGAACTCTACCCCCCGAACTCTGAACTCTGTCTCTCTCTCTCTCTCCCTCTCTCTCTCCGCACCCTGCTGACCCCCCTTTCCCCTCCATATCACCTCACACCCATCATCGCCCCACTACTCCTCCTGGTCACACACACACATCTCTCATCCATCTGTATTATTGTATTATAGTATGTTCATATGCTGTAAACTAGTATAGCATGCTCACTGCATCTTAATCTGTATATTATTAGTATAGCATGCTCACTGCATCTTAATCTGTATATTATTAGTATAGCATGCTCACTGCACCTTAATCTGTATATTATTAGTATAGATGCTCACTGCACCTTAATCTGTATATTATAATCCTAAGAACACACTTATTTTGTAGCATTACTTATTTATAGCATTTATTTATATTTATTGCATCCCATTAATCCAGCCATCCAGATATACCTCATAATTCACTTTTTTTGTCTACATCTGTAAATTTTGCAATTACTGTACATAGCACAGAATTACTGTACATAGCACAGACTCTTGCACTCAATTACTGTACATAGCACAGACTTTTGCACTTTCTGCTTATTTGCACTTCTGGTGAGATGCCAAACCTCATTTTGTTACTCTATACTTGTATATGTGTAATGACAATAAAGTTGAATCTCATCTCATCTCATCTAGTATGTAGAATTGTAAGACAATGTTTACATTCAAATATCTAAATTAATTAAAAATTGACTAAGCCTATGATATATATATATATATATATATATATATATATATATATATATATATATATATATATATATATATATATATATATATGTATATGTGTGGCTATATCTGGCTCCAACAAATCAAAAAGAACTGGTAGGTCTCTTTCTAGAACAGCATCAAAAGGTAGATTATCAGCAACCCCAATGTTTAAAAGGTAAGTTTGACCCTCTACCGTACATTTCAGCTGTTGGATAAGACTTCTCGTCTTCATGAACAGAACACATAGTGATGGTGTCCCCTCTCTCTTTCCTCACTCGCACTGAGCCATTCACAGACATGCGCTACTCGTTTAACACAAGGCTCTGCGTAACCTATGCGTAAAAGATAGAAACATTTCCCATGCATGTAAAGCATCTTATCATCTTTGAAGATTTCTCTCTACTGATGGATTTGAGCTTGCTCTTTCTGCAAATGAGGCTCCATGCTGTGTAGCTAGATGAGCCTCCTGAATTTGCACCCAAAATTCTATCAAAACTTTCATTTATAAAATTGCCAACACAGTTTGCGTAATTCTCGACCGGGAAAAAGGCAGAAAAAAGGTGCGGACAACACAACAAAAACAAAAAACTACCCCAAATCACAGAGATGCCGACTTGCACGGGACTAATATTATCACATAACCTCTGTGTTTGGCGAAATATGGTCGGTCATTTGCGGTGGAATTTTTACTTTACAAATTACGGACATGGCAGATTCGCACGGGATTAAGATCACAGACGACCTCCGCATTTATTACAAATTACAAGCGGTCCCCAGGTAATACTAGTCCCGTGCGAATAGGGCTTAAGACAAATGTTAAAGGCAGCACATCCTCACCTCTCCTCATGCAAGAACAAATGCCTCCTGGCTTTATCAACGGCCCCATTAACAAAGTGGCCACCGCTGGGTGCAGTTTTTCCAAGAGGTGAGTATTTATTTACAGTCATTAAACCAACACATGTTAACTTAACAAAACAACAAAAGTTCAATGTAAATAAGGCAACTTAATTCATAATTTAATCAGACTAAGACACATGTTAAAGGCAGCATGTCCTCACCTCTCCTCATGCAAGAACAAAGGCCTCCTGGCTTGTGGTTTGTAGCAGGGTTGCGTGTCCGTTATGCGTTTACATTTAGAGAGCATAACGTTGGAGCTGAGTTGATAAAAGGTTCATGAAACGACAGGAAAACTAGGAGAAACATTTAAAACTAAAAACAAGATTCTACTGAAGATGACAGAGGTATTACCAGAGTGGTCACTTATCAAAGTAATTACTCGTGAGTTAATTCAACTCGGTAGCTGTGTTTACATGTTGTTAGCTCCCAATTGTTAGCGCTTGCCTAAATTGCTAATCTACCAGCTCTCGTGTGCTCCAGTAGTCTGACAGCGTGGAAGAAAGAAGCCCCGTGGTCTCACTGGGCGCTGCCATATTTTGTGTCTGTGCTCAGTTCACTCACAGAAATCGGTGAGCATGATGACTGTTTTTTCAATGACGGATTTTTCTGTTTTTTGCACTTTATAAAGTGACTGATTGTTCTGTTCTGAATATTTTTTTTCCCATAAATCTGATGAATATAAGGTTTACTTATCAGGTGTTTTTTTCATGGAATTGAAGTTTTATTTTGCACTTGTGGAAAAAAAAGTTATGGATGTGGTTAAATCATGATTCTGAGTTTGATATGTGTGCAGAAACATTTAAAAAGTGATGTTTACACAAATTTCATGATGTTTTATATAATTAAAAGAGAAAAAGATTAATATTTGGATATTGCTCATATAAAGATACTAATCATATTTCTCTGACTCTGTCCTTTGAGAGGTCAGGTTTCTTTTGTTTTGTTTTGGACTAGAATCAGAATTACAAGCATAACCGCCATGTGGTGAAACACAAGCTGGAGGAGTACAGTAAAATAATGCAGTGAAGTGTTCATTCCAAGTGACTACTATTAAGGTTCAACAGCCTCGTAGCAAAAGGAATGAAAGATTAGAATAGCGGTTTGTTCCCTCAAGTGGACACTTGATGAATCACATTTCTTAAATATATATTGCCTTCATTTCTTTTTAACTTAAACCAGAGATTGCCACTTTGATTTGAAGCACTTTAAACATCATAAACTACGCTGCCTCTTTAAGGAACCTGGAAAAAAAAAGAAAAAGTGAGGATGTTTTTCAGTTTCTGCTTCCTGTTTGAACTAATGGTCCTTGCTCAACCACTCAGTGTGGTGATTCTTCGGGAGTTTTTCCTTTTATAACTTTGTCATGGACAGGTATGAGTGTACATAGCTATGAACTGTATGATGTGTTTTTGATCTTTATTCTAAAAAAGATCAGTTTTACATTGTTTCTGTTTTGTTTTTTGAGCTAAATCAAGAGAGTAGTAAAGGCTGTCCTGGAGCTGTTTCTTTATCAATGTACATAAGTATTTGTATCTGTTATTTACTTTAGTCTGTCACGCGCCCCTTATACTGTAAATATTAGAGATCTTAATCTTAGATCTTGTCATTTGTAGTCATTATTTTGGTAGAGGACTCTTCCCTTATACTTAAAATGTTTGCCACAAACCTAGACTAGTGTTGTAGTCAAGACCACACTAACCGAGACCACAATGTCATTATGTGTCACATGTGGGAGTAAAGAAAATTAATATCTCTGTTTGAATGAATTATATTTTCCATGTAAATGTGGAAACAAGTAAAGGTTCAAAGAAAAGAACAATTCATTCTTGTGATCATTGTTTAACATATTAGTGCAGGACTTTTCATCTAATTGACTGTAGTGCCTTTGACATAAAGGAAGAATTTCAAAAAAATGTTTTTAGATAAGATGAGATGTGATGTACTGTTTTGTACCTAGGGGGAAATTTGCCTTTGAATAAAATGCAGAGAAAACATAGCTGTGTGGAACTCAAAACTGGAAATTAAATTCAGAGGTATCTTTCATTACAACAAACAGGACAAACATAAAAACACAACAAAAGTAACACACAAAATACAATAAAAGAGATATAGGCCTATTCCCGTATGCGCAATAAAAAAAATGCTATTCATTCTAAAAAAGAGCAACTTTTCTGTTTTTTTTTAAAGCTAAATCAAGAGAAGCATGAAGGCTGTATTATATACATTTTTATAGAAGACAAAAGGCTAAAATTGTAAAAGAAAATTAAAAAATGGAAAGTTCTGTGCATGTGCATAACACTCTTGCTGTGACTCAAATCATGATTTTAAATTTCATTGTTTATGTAAACCAGTTTCAATGTTTACAAAAAGAATTTGGTTGTGTTGCATACATAGAATTGTATGCTTAGTAAACTAAGCAAGTGGTTCATGTTGATTGGTGACTTGTCGTGCAAGAATAAAGAGCTACAGTCTGTGGTCCCCCTGTCTCCATACAGTCACGATGTTCCCTCACTGAGAGATGGGGAGTGTTACCATGTCTTCATCAGCTACAGCAGCACTGACTATGAGAGGACCCACTCCCTCATTGATCAGCTGGAGGAATGCGGCCTGCAGGTCTGCTACCATGAGCGGGACTTCATTCCAGGCCGCACCGTGTTGGAGAACATGTCTGACTGCATCCAGGAGAGCCAGAAGGTCCTGCTGGTTCTCAGTTCAGAGTTTGTGAGGAGCCGCTGGTGTCTCCTGGAGGCCAACATGTCTCTGTTCAGGGACTGTCTGGAGAGGAAGCCCATCGTCCCAGTGCTGCTGGAGCCAGGAGTCTCTATTCCTCTCCACCTCTGCCACCTCACCTACCTGGAGGCCAACAACCCCGACTTTAAGAATAAGCTGCTCAAGGTGCTCTGCACCCCAAACCAGCAGCTTCAAGGCTCCACTGTGGTCCCCTTCCAGCCTCCCTCTATCTACAATGGGAAGGCCCTGCAGCCTTTGACTGCTGTCAATGATGAGGAACTCTACAAATGGGATTGTGGCCGGTTCAGTGACATGGAGGTGCCAGATCAACTGCGCCTGGTCATTGAGGACCACAACAAGTACAGAGAGGCTGTGAGGATCATCAACAGTGTCTCTGAAAACAAAGTTTGGCTGCGCCCTCTCTGGGTTAGAGTACTGATCTACATTGCTGGTGTAATATTTTTTTTACTCATGGTAGGTTTTTCTACCTTTTTGTCAGTTAAGTTCATTCACGGTGGGTTTTTGTCCTGGGATCTAGATACTTATGAAATGAATTGGTTTATTATTTTGAGTCTGTACTATGCTCCAGTGGGGTTTATTATTCAGCTTGGTCTCTGGAAAATGGATGATGAGAAGTATATTCTGAGGGAGATGCAGAAAGCTGTCGGTCAAGCAAACATGTTGCTCTCTGAGGAGAAGGTGTTAATGGGAAGTCGGTCTAATTCAAAACTTTATCTGGTGTATGTTTCTCTGGACGATTGCAAACAGGAGTTTGCAGAAACATTTTCTGAGCAGGTTGTTGCAGAGGAAATGTTTCAAAGAGCTCTGATGTTTTTCTCATCAGGTTACACCTGCTGCCTTGCTAAAAGAGACTTTACCTTTCCCCAGCCCAGCTCCTCTGGTCACCTGGAGGGAGGCGTGTGTTTCTGTCAGTATGTCTCCCAGCAGCTGAGTAAAGAGAAATGGGAATAAAAGAAACTGGACAGACATGAACAGGACATTCAATCCAGCATCAATGCCAGTGGTGATTCAAGACAAACAATTCAAATCAACAGTCATTCTTCTATGTATTAATTTTTACATTTGTATAGAATCCAAAACAATTCTCTGTCTGTGTACAGCCTACACTTTCCAATTAATTTAGTTTTTGTATAGTCTATATTTTTTATACCTTTATCTAAATGGAACATTTAGTATGACAGTGCTAGATTAACTTGTTTAACTTAAAGCGACTGAAAGCCGTTAAAGACAGTAACTTTTGTTTATGATTAAAGCCCTTCAAACAACAGAACTGTCTCTTTAACAAACACTCTGGGGAGGATGTTTACCCGTGTATACTCGCTGAGTTTACTTTCACTTCTTGCTCAACTCCGTACTGATGACTGGTGTTAACGTTTCTCTAAATCAACAGAACCATGAACAGGTATGAAAGGACATTGGTCGTACTGTATCTTTTGGTTTAAAAAGTGTATTTAGATGCTGTCTTTGTTTTTCTAACAAAATCAAAATAAAGTATGAAGTGTTCTATAGTTTCCATTTATTAACTTTATTCACAAAACATTACCAGTCTCGTCATGAAAGCAGCTCTCCCTGTGTATTTTCAGCAGCACTAAGCTGTGGAAACACAGATTACTCTGCAGCGAGTGATTTGACTTCAAGCTACCAGATTTAGGATGCTTTATAACTGAAACCAATAAAAAAATATTGTCTATGTTTAATGTTATGGTATATATTTCATTTTGTACATGGCAGTTTGGTAAGAGGACTCGTTTGCCACAATCCTTTAGAGTTGTCTGATAATCATTAGCTCTCTTATACACGTTTAGGGATGACTTTGAAAGAGTGTAGGACTTGAACAAGATATAAATGCACTTCTTATGGTCAGAAGATAGAAGTGAATAATGCATTGTTATCAGGGATTTGAATAACAGTAGTCGTGTGAGAAAAGGACCATTTTTAGAATGTGTTTTACTTAACTCCTTGTGTTCAAGTAATTTTTTGAGTATCCGACTTTCTTAGAGTCTCTTGTTGGCATCTTAGAAAAAGGAACTGTCTGGGTTACTTTGACGGCCATGTAGAGAGGGTTTTTGGGAGGATGATTCTTCCTGATCTGTATCTTATTGGTGCTTTGTTATTGAACGTCAGTGCTAGTCATGGATTATTGAAAAAAAACAACATCATGTTACAACAACAGATAATTCACAAGTACCACAAAACATTTTGCTTAAGGCTAATATCTTGGACTTTCAAGTGAAGAGAGGATTAGAGTTGTCGATTGTCTCCCTGTTGCACTTTCATTATGTCTACAAAATACCTATGAATTTGACTTTAATTGCTTTTAAAACTTTAAGAACATGGTCATTTTAAAAAGGATTATTTAAGTGTTCAGGAAGTTGATGTACCTAAAAACAAAATTATCCACTGAAATATGGACGTCTCTTTCCCGATGTAAGCTTTTGGAGAAAACTACTTTTGGGTCCAATGGGATTACATGACGCTGCAATACCAGGTTCGGCCACAGTGTAAAATTGGCTTCAACGATCAGTGCACTTCCTGGTGGCTTGGTCTATTTGCAGTGAAAGGCAGTCTTAATGAGGGTGTCTTCAAACAAGTGTTTTAAGGCACATAAGATCATATTGGTGTGGTTCTAAAGAGCCTCCTCCACAGGGTGGTTGAGGTCCTTGTTAACCTCCCCACCGTGCAGACCAGGTCAGGGTGGCCATGATGTTAATCCTTCATGAGGTGGGGGTCACAGATGATGCTGGCAGAGGCTCACAATCTCTCCACCATACTGAACCCCCCCCAGACTGCCAGATTCTCAAATCCATGTCAACCCCAGCAGACGCCTGGTCCTCCATTGATGAGCTGGGGGGGTCCTCATGGTAGGGGCAGTTTGCAGTTGGTAAGCCAGAGGCATTGTCCAGGTTGGTATGTGGAGGCCCTAGCCCTTCTCCAGTCTGCAACCATATTGGAGTATGTCAGACTTTGAGTCACATCTGTCTAGCACCTCTTCATTTACTGTTTCAGTGACAGATGAAGGCCTAAGCTGGGGGGATTATTTTTCAGTGAATAAGAGAGTAAGCTTTCCAGTTAAAGCATCATGCACTAATTGAATCTATAACAGCACTTCAATAAAAAATAATCAAGTTGACAAAGGGTTTATTACCTGAAAGGGGAAATTTTGACTGAGGCAATGACGCAATGGAAATAATGCTGAAAACAAATATTCTAAAAACTGCCTACATTTCTTACTAAATTTGTATTTATTTTCTTACATTAGTTTGTCTTTGCAGACAATGGAGCCAATGAACTGCAGCTTGTCTCCATACAGTCACGATGTTCCCACACTGAGAGAGGGGAGTGTTACCATGTCTTCATCAGCTACAGCAGCACTGACTATGAGAGGACCCACTCCCTCATTGATCAGCTGGAGGAATGCGGCCTGCAGGTCTGCTACCATGAGCGTGACTTCATTCCAGGCCGCACCGTGTTGGAGAACATGTCTGACTGCATCCAGGAGAGCCAGAAGGTCCTGCTGGTTCTCAGTTCAGAGTTTGTGAGGAGCCGCTGGTGTCTCCTGGAGGCCAACATGTCTCTGTTCAGGGACTGTCTGGAGAGGAAGCCCATCGTCCCAGTGCTGCTGGAGCCAGGAGTCTCTATTCCTCTCCACCTCTGCCACCTCACCTACCTGGAGGCCGACGACCCCGACTTTAAGAATAAGCTGCTCAAGGTGCTCTGCACCCCAAACCAGCAGCTTCAAGGCTCCACTGTGGTCCCCTTCCAGCCTCCCTCTATCTACAATGGGAAGGCCCTGCAGCCTTTGACTGCTGTCAATGTTGAACGACTCAATAAATGGGACTGTGGTCAGTTCAGTGACATGGAGGTGCCAGATCAACTGCGCCTGGTCTTTGAGGACCACAACAAGTACAGAGAGGCTGTGAGGATCATCAACAGTGTCTCTGAAAAGAAAGTTTGGCTGCGCCCTCTCTGGGTTAGAGTACTGATCTACATTGCTGGTGTAATATTTTTTTTACTCTTAGTAGCATCAGGTATGTATTTCACAATTATATTCAGTGTGGGTCATTTCTTGCCCCAAAAACAAAACACATACCCGGTTGATATTTGGGTGTTGACACTTTCAAGCCTCTACTGTATTCCAGTGGGGTTTATTATTCAGCTTGGTCTCTGGAAGATGGATGATGAGAAGTATATTCTGAGGGAAATGCAGAAAGCTATAGGTCAAGCAAACATGTTGCTCTCTGAGGAGAAGGTGTTAATGGGAAGTCAGTCCAATTCAAAACTCTACCTGGTGTATGTTTCTCTGGACGATTGCAAACAGGAATTTGCAGAAACATTTTCTGAGCAGGTTGTTGCAGAGGAAATGTTTCAAAGAGCTCTGATGTTCTTCTCATCAGGTTACAGCTGCTGCCTTGCTAAAAAACATTTTCCCTTTGCCCAGCCTAGCTCCTCTGGTCACCTTGAGGGAGGAGTGTGTTTTTGTCAGTATGTCTCCCAGCAGCTGAGTATGGAGAAATGGGAATAGCAGTACCTGTATGGACCTGCAAGTGATAGTACATATCCTGTTTCTGTTTTTTTGTTTGTTTTGTTTTAAAACTATATCCTGCCTTTATGGGAGGTGCAAACCAGTTAGAATTCACTTTTTTTTTTGGAAGGGGATAGCATTAAAACATGACTATACATTACTAAGTATATATTTTGTACCCATATCATGTGTTGGTCCCATTTCATACATTCTCTCTTCCTCAAAAATCATGTTTTTTCTGTTTATTCTCACATTTGCCATTTCGAAATTTGTGAGTGATATACAGTATTTATCTGAAATGCGTCTAACTTTACATAATCCACACATATGCCTCAGGGTTCACTTTCTCATGAAGTCCATTTTTTCTGAACTGGGGCAGAGGCATCATAAAACATACCTGTTATATAATATGATTTAATATGTGTCCAGTCTGGGGCTTAGGACAGCCTTAGGTATAAGATTCTCTTATCTGTTGCTCTTTTGACAAAATGTTGTTGACCTTTCCCACTGATGCCACCTTATCAGAAACAAAGACCCATTGGAGATTTGCGCACCACCGTGTAGGACAGAAGGGAAATCAATATTTGCTGTCCTTTACGACATCCACTAACGGGATTCAGGATATGAAACAGAGACATGACACTGCTGCCCCAGGGGTCTGTGGCAACAAATCCTAACAAACAGTAAAAAGACACTGCTGGGAATATAATCCACAAAGAGATTGAATGTCAGTGGGGTGACGCCAGGGTCACAATGTACACATTCAGTTCTCACTGTTCCTGATGAGAGGTGGAAATGTCCTCTCGCCGCTGCAGTTCAATTAGAACTTAATTAGGATGGATTAAGCGTACACATCTGAGGTAGAAAAAAAAGCTCCTTGCTGCCGTGTTATCATGTTGTGTGCAAGCATGTTGAAAGTGTAGCATGGCGGGATAATTGCTAACAGAAGCGACAACATAAAGAGAACAAGTTGTCTAATCCTCAACAATGACTTTCATGCTGATCTCTATTAAGGCTTAATTTCTTTTCCACATTACAGCAAATATGTATGTGTGTCTGTTTGCATGTACATAAATGCTTTACATTTTCCATTAAGAATCTTTTCCCTGTAACTGTATTCCTATCACAGCAACATAAACAGCTTTTTGATGAAAATGCGATGTGTCCTTGGCATGTCTAGTTTTCTAGATTAGCACTCAAAACCGCCTCATACTAGCTGCTGTTACTCTACGGCATGTTTTGAATTTCAATGGAGTTAATTAAAAAATATTCCTCTGCCATGGGGCGCAGTGTGGAGACATGAGAGAAAAACCGCAAAAGGAAAATGACCTGCTGAGCTAATAAAAAAGTCCAACACAAGCAAATCACTTGGTTTGTTATTTTTTGATTGGGTTTCTTTTCAGGATCAAATGTTCACTGTCTGTTGACTTCACAGGTGGCTCGTCAAAGTGGACGTTTTTTTCCTCCTCCATCAAGCAGTTACTATCAGTTTTAATTCTTGCTGTGATAAATAACCATTTACCCTTCAGAAATAGAAGGTAAAATAGTTGAAAGTTTTTCATCCTCCTTGGGGAACAGAAGCTGTGCACAGTTTAAGGCCAGTCATGATCATAGAGTTGTGGCTGAATCACTGGCATGCCTTTAATCATGGCACTTAGATACCACTTCCTATGGAGCTGTTCTGTCAAGCTGCAAACAAGTGTGGTCGCCATCCTCCGTTCCAGTAATGACAACTGAGAGTTGGCTCTAATAAAACCTTTTTTTTATCGAAACACAGTTATGTAACTGTTGTGTCATCCAGAAGCTATTCATGCTTCCGTTATCGGTCTTTGTGATTTTCTGCAAACCGCCACTATTCAAAAATCAATAAAAAGGAAGCCAGATGTCGGAAAAGAAGCATATTTTACAACGAAATGTCTTAAGTGTTGTTTCACTGTGTTCAAAGCATAACTGACCCAGAGGACAGCTGTGAAGATGAGCTTATGATATTCAAGATGTACAGAGGAAGTGTTCATGATGATTCTCCTGTGGGAAACCAAAAACAACTGAAGTTGAGTCATTTAGAATTCATGAAGCATAAAGTATATGTATATAAAGTATACAGGAGTATAAAGAAAGGAAGTCAAGGCTCCTGGCAGAAAAAGTCTGACAAATGGCTTCATGTTCAATCAAAACCTAAAATGTTTACACTTCAGTTGTTTTTCCGAGTCAAACAAACCAGATATGATGCATTTGAAGAGAAAATGTTTCATTCTCACTTCAGCAGTATGAGTCCGAAAATAAAATTAAAATAAAACATTTCCCTGTGATTTACTTGAAGTTAACAAGTTTGTCGAAATAACAACATCATGATGCAGATTTGTAAAAAGTATAAAGTCAAGCATTGTCAGATCGGTCCTCAAGAGGAGAATAAAATGCTTGTTTGTTGACTGGAGGTTGGATTGATCATTTCTGATGTGTTCCAGGGAATCTAAGCCATGATTGGCTTTCACCACAGAGCATCAAGCAGATTTGTGGCTCCAGTTTAAATGTCAGAACACTTTTCATGCAGAAAATCCAAACCTTGTGTATAGATTCCATAGAGATTGTTTAAAGGGCAGTCATTTAGTAAAAAAAAGCCAATAGAATTGGACATAAATGCATTAACAACACAATCACCTTTTTTTTAATTTTTAAATCAACAGGTTGCATTTACTTAGACTCTGATTTTGTCCTTTAATTTCCCTCGCTTTCTGAAAGAGAAATTGCTTAAATATTTAATGAGGTACCCATTCAAGCAAAATATGGAAACAAATGAAGGATCAAAAGCATGTGGTAGTGTTTTCAATCTCTCAGTATTCATACAAAACAACAACAGCTCTGTAACTGGAAAGCATTTAAATGAAGATAACATATACGTTAAAGAACGTGTCAGCCTGTAATACAGGTGCATCTCCACACTTTGCTGCCGGCTTATTTTTGCCTCCTCTTCGTGTTGTTTGGAATGTCAAGACCAACACGATATGTGGCCTCCTGAGAAAACACGTCCTGTCAGCTGACACAAGAGTGGGAGCCACTCCATTTGAGCTGTGTTGTGAGAGAGTTACCTGCGACTGCATTATAGGCAAAGGAGGAGATTAATGCCGACAGCCATTGTTTTTGCATCAATTCTAATTAAACAGGCTCATATTGAAAACCTGAATCAGTCATGAAGGTGCATTTGTTCAATAGCTTAATGTCAATAATTGTTAGCAAGGTTTACATGTTGAATCCAAAGTAGTGTATTGACAGCATTTGTGCACCCATGTTTAAAGGTTCTCTGTAAATGTTGTTACCCTCTGCTTAAATGCATCTACAGCATGCCCTTCTGCCTAGCATAAATCTTCATTATCATAAATAACGTGCGTTGTGTCACTAGGGCCAATAATCCGAGGTTAAACCAACATCCCATATCAAACTAATGATACTGAGCAAAGGTTTGAGCAGCCACATGTTGACTGAATAAACCCAAAGCCAGCCCCATTTTTCAAAATAAAACTCTTATCAGCTGACAACCTTGTGACATCGCCTGCAAGACCCCAAAAGAAAACAACAGGGAAAATAAAAAAAAGAGAAGGACGACGGCTCGGGGTCCACACCAGAGCCTTCAGTCAACAGCATGGAGCTGGTCGCTGCAGTGACAGATGTGACCCACGCTGTGACCTAATGCAGCAGCTCGCTCACTAAAGACTATTTACTTTTAATCTGAAAGAATGGGCCCACTTCACTTGCCATCTATGGACTCGGCACATGCCAAGACACAGAGTCAGAGAAGATTCATAAACTCTTGCCGTATAAATTATATCCTTTTACCAAACTTAATCTGAGAAACGTAATCAATGCAGATGTGCTGAAAACACTGCAGTACCTCAAACGACCACTTGAAGCTGGCTCCAAAAGTAAGTCAGTTCCTAGTATGCCCCATAATAAATTGTCCATCTTCACACCAGAATAAAACTACAAGAGAAAAAATGGTTTAGTCTCTATAGATATTTGTTGGCATGTATAAGTGTCCCAGTATACACTGAGGGAGAATCGATTTATTGGCAGGTGTATGATGGTATATGTCCCTCTTTCAGCAACTTACTATTCTAAAAAGTTAGCAAGTGGCAAACTGGTGGTATGTTGAACAGTGAAAACATGGACAACTTTACAGCTCTGTACATTTCATACATACTCTATGCCATGGTTTATCTTTTATTATAAAATAATTATCAGCAAGAGGTTGAAGTCAAGGAAACAGCTTTTGTTCTATGTTACCTTCAAGTTTCTACAGTTGTCGAGGACAATAAACAGAATTAAATAAAATACCATACTGCTGAGTGGGTGGAGATTCACTGTAGAGACCTGGAATATTTTCATCTTTGTAGATGTGCACATACATAATGAAGACAAAGGAGAAGGGTTTAATCTCCAGCGTTTTAAAGCATGGCAGGATTTGAGTAAATAAAAATGATAAACGCGTCATTTTGATGTACAGAGTTGAGTTTAAGGGTTTAATGAGGGGAACAGTTTTTTTTAGGATTCATGGAGGCGTTTGATCATGTCTCTGGGAGTATACTTAATGCACTGTTTGGATTATATTTTATAGATGTTGAGATGAACAGACTCACCATTTGCCATCTCTTAAACCTCTCACATAATTTATGTAGGGTGAAAACAGATTTGGAGAGTATATCTGTCACAATGTGAAGGTAAATAATCCAAACCATCAAGTTTTTAACCTGTCAGATAGATTTATCAGAACTTCATTCAGTTAACAAAAAAACAAGTTAGTACATTTCACATGATCTCAGCTTTCGTCTTAAGTTGTTTTTAGAGGATATGGGTCTGTTCAGTGTGCAGATATATGAGGTTTATACATTAATATAGCAAATGTCTTGCACTGAAAAATTAAGAAAAAACAATGGCCACGTCAAGTTGTATTTCATGTATTTCATTAATTTAAAAGTATTCTTTAAAAAAAGTAATCAGATGCTGTTTTTTCTTCTGTCCTTCTTCTCTGTCTGCTCTCCCACCGGTTTTATTCCTCTGTGCATTCTGCATGACAGCTTTTCTTTCTTAGTATTTCTTGAATTTTCAAAGAGTACAATGTCAGGGGTCCAAAGTCGCTTAAGTCTGCTGGCTACATTCTGCAGGAATCATTTAGGCAAAGATTAGAGTCCAACTCAGTGTGGTAAAAAGAAGACATTTTCAAACCCTTTAGGAACGCAGTGAAATGATTGCTGATCCAGTGCTGAGCCGTGTTGCTGCAGATCTAAACAGCAGACACTACAAAGTATAAACTCTAGTGTCGATACATGGCCGTTTCTTTTGTGCCAGGCTAGTTCTGTCCAAAACAAAACTAGTCAAACATGAAAAGCATGTTTTTGCTTCTGATGGGGTTGGAACATATTAGAGAGGGTATTGGTGGATGATTATTATATATCTATTTTATATATCTAAGTGTATGATAACTGCATTTGAGGGATAAATGCACTATGTGAATATCTATATCTATCTCTAAAGATCGAACATAAATCAAAGTAAGATGTCGGCCGATTTATCGGATTTTCCCTCTTCCTAATATCAATATCGTTATTGGTCCCAAAAATACCATATCAATCAAGCTCTATCCCATAATACAAAAAACTAACACTAAACTAGTAACAACTACACTACAGCTATGCATTCAACCAGCAAAGATTAACCTTAACAAACCAGCATTAAAGTAATTTAACTAAAGTGAAATTGAAAAAGTAAATAACAAAATAAAAATTCAAAACCTGAAGTCAGACAGCTAAGATCTGAATTGAGTGCTGCTGCCTAAGTTACATCCACTCTTCAACAGTTCAATCCTTCATCAGTGATATAGCTAAATAATATTTGGTAGAAATGACTAAAATTGGATAAATGAAAAGCCTCTGTAAAACAGAGGAAACTTGTCTGTCGAATTAGGTCAGTGTCAGTGTCTCCTGCCAGCAAAGAAAGGAAGGGAAAGTTTTAAAATAAACTCAGCAAAAGTGTAACGAATGATTCTTTGCCGACCAGAAATAATTGTATAAAGAGAGACTCTACTTAGTAATACTTAAATCAAACTTTAGTTTGTAGATAGTAAAGTTTGGTTTGACTGTCTTGACTCTTTTTATGAAATTTTAATAATCAAACTAATGAGAATTCTAAAAGAAAACGCACAATTGGGTTTTTTTTGCTTAATGGCTTCTGCCATTATATGAGGAGTGAAGCCAGGAGGAGATGAACGCTATGAGAGGATGGGTTTTAAACGTGAAATTGTCTGGTGCTGAAAGAAGCTGAATTTGACTACTGTGATGACCTGGTGCTCTATGAATAAAGGTTT